TATTAGGATTCAGTGAGCCAACACAGGCAAAGTACCTAGAAAGTGCCTGGCACATTGTAAGGAACCAATGACAGTAGTGATAGGAGAAGCAGCATTTGTTTTTTAGAAAGATCATTCCATTGTCTTTTAGATCATTCTAGCTACACTGTGGAGGGTAAATTAAATAGGCACAAAAACAGAAGAGTTAGGAAGATACAAATTAAGGAAAGGACCCTAGAAATAAAGAAGTGGAGAGACTGACAAGACATAAAAGAGGCACAAGGAATAGGATCTGAGGACAGACTGGGAATAGCAGTTGAGTGAGGGAAAGAGAAGTAAAAAATAAATACATAGAGTCCTTGGCTTGGGAAAGGAGCTTAAGTAGGAGCATTCACTGAAATAAGACACACAAGAACAACTAATCCAGGTTACTCAGGTAACATGGCAGGCATACTAATACAAAAATGAGTCTGGATCACAAAAGAGGAATACCTCAAAATACCACAGCAGATAAAACATTTCATTTGCATTATGGAGAAAGTACATCGGAGAAAAAGGAAAAGGGCATCTGAGGCATACGAAATGGCCCAGAAGCATGAAAGGCCTGCAGTTTGTGTGAAAACAGGAAAAGTACTGCAAGACTGAAGGTAAATAGGACATATGAGCTGGGGTCAGCTCTTCATAATCTTCTTTCCTATCCAAATGGTCTTAATGATTTCTGATGTCTTGGCCATTACTAAAAGATCATGGTTCCATGGTCCTATGACTTCTGCTGATAGCCATGCTGATAAAAAGAAATCTTAAACGCAATTTAAGATTTTCATAAAAATGACAAACCAAAAAGTAACAGTTTGGCCAGTTAAACAGCAGATATCCACTGTAGTCATCATCAACTAATGGCACAGAAATTTCAGAAAGCACACACAACAGAAGAATTTTTACATATTAGTACCTCTTATGCTATTAAATTCTAAATCTTCCTGAAGGTCTATAAGCAGTAAAATTCTCAAACTTGTTATTCACCTATAAAAACGATATTCTACATAAAGCAGTTTTATCTATGCCTCATCGTAAGTTAATAAATGTTCCTGGCTTTGCAATACTTTAACAAAACTACTGGTTCACACTTATGGAATGTTTTCCACATGCCAGGCGTGGTGCTGAGCGCTTTACAGACTTCACATCATTTCATTCTTACCCCGTAATTCTGTCAGATCAGTAAAATCAATCCCATTTTGCAAATGAGTAACTAAGAGAGATTAAGTCCCTATCTAAAGCAAATACTTCACACAATCTACAAATACAGAGTTAGTATTCAAACACATATCTGTTTGATTCCAGGATCTATAAGATTTTATTTCTGACCCCTCTCTAAAAGTGTATTTTTCTCACAAAGATTGACTCCTCTCACTCAAGAAACACAGGCTAACCATGGCCCGAAGAGGGCCTGCTATATGCAAGCAGCAAAGCCATAGAAACATGAAGCATGAAAATGACAAGCAGAGAGTGGGGGAGGGGGGAATGAAGCATTCTGAAAAAGAGCCTGAAGCCATTAAGTATAAATGTGAACAACAGAGAACTAAGGGCAATGGAGAGATTACCTTGATAGCAGCAAAAAGAAACAAAATTACTCTTTTTATACAGAAGCTGTGAACCTCTCATAGATGTATGAAGGGATACTGCTAGTATCAGTAGCATGGATGGGAAGACTTGGTCTGCATTAGTCTTCTCTGCCAGAGCCTCAGTGTATTTGCAAAACATAAATCTGACATCAGTTTAGCAATCCTCAAATTTGCTCACAGCTTTGTATTTCCTGAGGCTTTAAAACACTTCTCCATTCTTCTCCAATCCCCAGAAGTCCCATCCACCACTTACACAAAGATAATTCGACATTTCTTGGAGGGACAAAAAGCAAATTCATCCTCTTGTCACTATTCCTCTCTACCCCATGCCCCACAGAGCACCCCTGCAAGCAACCTCTCTCCTCCTTCCCCCTTACACTCATCTTCGTTTTCACTCCTAATGTAACCAACCCTTTCAGATCCTTCTGATGCCCTCAGCTGAACTACTATAATAGCCAACTAATTTCCGTGTTTCCGGCTTATCCCACAACCAATCCATATGGAAATAAATCTCTTCCCGACTAATCTTCCTAACATACTTATTTTGCTATACCACACTCTCCTCAAGTTCATCTGAAGGACCAACTCTTTAGCAAAGCCTTTAATGTTACCCAAACCCGGCTCCATTTACATTTACAGTTTCATTTCCTACTTCCCTATACAAAATTCTCCACTGTACCTGCCCCCAAAAATCAAATTACAGCCCCTGAAATGTGACTTTGAACTGTCCCACTGGTTCTACCAACTAAAGAAGGAAGACATACTTGAGGAGCCTGTAACAAATCAACAACTATGATGAACCAACAACTCCATGTAGTAGAACCAAAGGGTAATGAATCGATACTATTTCTTTGGATTAAATAACACAATGATTTCAAATTATAAAGATAATGAGGGGAAAAGAACTGTTATGATAAACTATTTTTACATGAGCTAAAATAAAATAAGTGAGTAGGATCCGGGTCAGCATTCCAAGCAGAAAGAATATAGCTTCATTGCTAATAGCACATGGTTTTGAGTTAGACAAACTTGTCTTCAAATCTTAGCTCTGCCTCTGATAAGCAATGTGATCTCAGGCAAGTTTCTTAACCCTCACTCTGGGGCATGATACTATCTCCTAGCAGTACTGGGTGGGTTTGAAGATAAAATGAATTATGCACATAAAGTACATAGTATACTGCCCAGTGCATGGTAAGAGCTAAATAAAGAGCTTATTAATAATTATTATTACTGAAGCAAGTCTCAGATCCAGTGAAAAGACTGTTTAGCAGGAAGTAGATAGTACACAACAGTAAGTGCTAAAAAAGATGAGAAATATACACAGAGTACTTAAATCATCTGTAGTATTCAGAATATTCACCAAAAAGCATATAGCAAAACCATCCTTCAAGGCCCTTGGCTAGATTCCCATATGAAGTTTGGTTTCTTCAGATATAATGTGAAGTGTTTAGACAAAATGGTATCGAAAGCTCCTTTCAGTCCTAACCTTCAAAAAAGTGTATAAGAATTGCTATGAACTAGAATTCTGAACATTCATCACCATTACCCAGTTAACTACTTTTACATTTTACTAGGTATATAAAGGCTTATTAATGTTCTACTGGCCTCACAAATTTGGAAAACAAAACAACATTTCAGCCCCAACTAAAAAATCCCCATCACCAGTTTATCAGTCACAGAGAGGGACAGCGATAGTCTCGCTGAAAAACTCCCTGTAGCTGAACTCAACAAGTACCTGATGCCCCTACATGAACCCAAAGTGAGGAGTCTTCAAATTTCCTAGGAATTCTCAGGGGCAGTTTAAGAGGTAGAAAATAAAACACAACAGAAAACATGACCTGGACGGGAGGTTTGTTCTTGGGTCAGTGGACAAGAAAGAATCAAGAATACCAAGAGAAGAATAGTATTTCAAAATGCTAAAATGAGTCAGGAAGGCTCTAACCTAACTATACATTACTTTAAAACAAACCCAATTATACATCATATATCCAAATCAAGTCTTCACTGTAGGAACTTCTTTTGCATACTTAAGGTATTTATAAATCTATTCTTTCTCTAAAGAGCTAAAAACAAATTAAGAGTGCATACCTGTCTTTTTATGTGAAAAGTAGTCAAGGATTGCATTAGATTGAATTAATACTTAACATGCCCATTTACTGGGACGCCTGGGTGGCTTAGTCGGTTAAGCGGCTGTCTGGCTCAGATCATGATCCCAGGGTCCTGGGATTGAGTCCCATAATGGGCTCCTTACTCAGTAGCAGGAGCTCTCCCTTTGCCTGCTGTTCCCCCTGCTTGTGCTCTCTCTCTCTCTGACAAATAAATAAATCTTTTTAAAAAATGCCCACTTACTGATTTTTTTCAGTGTAACTTCCTAGTCTTACATATAAGATTTTCATGAGTAGAAAGTTATCCTTCCACATACCAAAATCACTTTCGGTATACTTATTTCTGAATGAACTGCTTTAAACAAATATTTTTCTGTATACTTATTTCTGAATGAACTGCTTTAAACAAATACTTTTGTCAGCTTTCAATTTTATAAATTAAGAGAATTTTAAGAATCATATCTGTGAACTTAACTTATGGTTAAGCTTATACTAGTAAATTTTTTAATTTTAACAGTGACAAGAGTGTTTTATACCATTTCTTTGCAGGCAAAAAAAAAAAGAATATGTTCATCAGATTTCCATAAAAACTGAAATCTGTATTTTAACCATGTATTATTTAATTCATTTCAAAATGATAAATCTATAATATAAAATTTTAAAGATTTTTCTATTTAAATATATCATGTCAAAATAACTCATAATTTTGGTCATACTAAATACTTAAGGAACTATAAAAGACTATAATCCAAAATACAAATGGAATAAATTCATTCTGAAGTCTCATTTTCTTTTAAGAAAGTAAAGCTATAGATAAGAATTACATAAAAATAAGAAAATATCATCAATTCAACATATATGTAAATGATTCAGACATCACTGTAAAAGGAGAGAACTAACCACTTATTTACAGCAGTTACTACTTCAAGTAGACAGAAATAATAGGAGGGTATTCAACAAAGTATGGTACTGTCAAGTTTTTTTGATGGGAAAAATTTTTAAATGTTTCCAAATATGTTCCATTGATAGATTAAAAGAGTGTAAAAATATGTTGAAACTGTAAACATTCAGTTCTTACTAGTTTTGATATAAAGGCTCCCTCATCACCCATCTACTTGGTAACTTTAAAAGATTTTCCATATACATTCTGCACACATGGTGATTTTTTTCCTCACAACTGGTGAAGAGAAAATATTGATAGAAATTCATGTGTAGTAGTAGTTGCTGCAGTAACAGTAGTAATAATCATAGTACTCCAATTATAAATGTTTTTTAAAAATTATGTGGTTCCAACCTGGTCGCCAAAGTCCTCTGGGAATTTCCACAATACCACAGGATCTGTAAATAATTGACACATGGCATTAAACAGAGGCAAAAGGGCACATTTACACCAACATTCTTGTTAAAACATTGTCAGAGATACTTTTTAAATAATTTTTAAATTTCTCTTTAAACATTTACAGTTGATGAGATTAAAAATAAAGGATTTTGATCTTTTAAGCATTTTAATGACCTTTGGGAATAGGAACAAATAAAATTAAAATAACTTTGTCAGATTATTAAAACTATTTCTTTTCACAACTCTATTTAGATACTTTACATTTTAAGATTCTGAAATATGAATTTTCAGATGTAACTACACTTAACATATTGGTTTTAATTTGAAAAGAAAAATATAAATGTGGTAAATATGTAATATATTATATATATATCATAGTTCTTAAAAATTAGACCAAAATATATTATCTTAAATTTTCATTTAAAATCCTAAATATTTATGAACACTGTAATAACGCTTGCTTTATATCAAAATTCACTTTTGAGGGGCGCCTGGGTGGCTCAGTCATTAAGCATCTGCCTTCGGCTCAGGTCATGATCCCAGAGTCCTGGGATCAAGCCCCACATCAGGCTCCCTGCTCGGCGGGAAGCCTGCTTCTCCCTCTCCCACTCCCCCTGCTTGTGTTCCCTCTCTCGTTGTCTCTCTCTGTCAAATAAATAAAATCTTTAAAAAAAAAATTCACTTTTGAAATCCCATATTTGCAACTCTATGAAGTGAAGCCTTTCATAAAATAATAGATATAAGTTGGTAGTTCTAAGGCATCAAGCTTACTTAAAATACAACTGATATTTGCAGGGCATTTTAAAGAAATTTTTCTAATATATCTAGTTATTCATATATAAAAACCAATGTTGTTTTATAAATATTCCCACGGTTTTTCATTTTCATCATTTCTCACAATATTTCTTTTCTACTTAGTATATTAAAAATAAGTCCTTTTAATTAGCACTAATAAATATTTTGGTTATGTGCTCATTTCTCAATTGTGTCAAAAACAAACTTCTAAATATCTGTAGATGTGCTTTAAAAGGATAGTGTACAACGGATAATATTACTTCTGTAAAAGCCTTTCAAAGCTCAAGATAGTATAAGTAACAAGTACCACTGATATAACAGAATTTGAATTCCACTCCAAGTAAAAAGAGTAGACCAAAGACATCACTTTATGTTCTCAATAAGTTCTATTCCATTATTTCCACTATTCCATGTTGCTTTTATAAAAATACAGTCCAAGAATGCATAATTCCAGGTTTTTAATTCCAAAACTCAATAATTACCTAGCAACATTTTTAGTATGAGCTATCTCCTCTTGCTGTATTACTTATTAAGTTCAAAAGAATTTTTTTCAATTATTTTAAATTAAAAAGAAAAGAAAGCATACTTTCTATAATTAACCTTTTTACTTAGTAAGGAATAGAAGGTTCCTATATAAGTCAATATAAATAAATCACTTAACACATCTTATATAAAAATAATGCATTATAAATTCACAAAGATAATATTAAATGATTATCTCTTCATGTAAAACAAAGTGTACATTTCTAAAATGAAGGACATGCATTATAGGTCACCTAAAAATACTCAAGACATGGTTATGACTATGTTGGAAAATATATACATGTGAGTTATGAGTGTGTGTTTTATTGGAAAATATGTACGTGTGAGTCAGTTTTACCAAAATGATAATTATCAAGATTTGAATCGTATAAAACAAAAGTGATATGATGGAATCTTCATGAAATATTGATATTATTTTGATAAACTTAATACACTAATGGCCACATAAGTAAATCAATTATACAGAAATGCAGAATAGTTCTTTCTTATAAATAATGGAGTTAAAGAGTTTTAATGTGAATATTTAAAACATCCCTTTTGAACAACCTCAATTTTATAGTTGTCATTTAAGAAACTGTTTGTGATAAATTTCTTACACTTATGTCTTAAAACCAACATGTTTACCTTGTACAGATAATGCTTTGCCCCTATTGTTCACAGCATTTACCCATGTATGTTCTGCTAACTCACTTTTTCTCATCTTCTATTATGCTGTTGTGTTTTTTTTTTTTCCTGTATCGCCTATTCTTTCACAGAGAGAAGGAACAAGTGAATTCATGTAAGTAACATCTACTGGCTTATATTCAGTGAAAAATATCCTATTTCTTTTCATTAAATGAAATTTCCACTTCAGCACTCAAAAATTTACTGTAACGTGAATCCATATTTTGAAATGGATTAACTTAGTTACTGCCTGTGTTGTTAGACATACACCATATCTGACACATCTCTGTAGAAACTTTTCACAAGTACTGCAAAGGAAGGAAAAAAAGGCTCTTAAAAAGAAATAATAACCTGATTCTCAAATGTATGCACAAAGACTGGATTTTCTATTCCCTGAGGACTATTTTTCTCGCTATCAGATCTGACCTGGAGAGCTTAAGTTGGTTTTCTGCTTGTTTTATGGATGGAAGGATGAGAACCACTGGCAGAAATCACTGCCGCTGGTGAGGCCTGATGCACACTGTGCGTCTCTTCTCACCAATACCTACTACTAATTCAAGAGAGACTCCGGATCTTAATTTTAAAGCAATCTTTGCCACCAACAATCTAGGAACCAAATAAATATGAAAGGAAGAATGCATGATTTGATTTGTACATAAATGCAGTTAGTCTCTTATTTTAATAAGAGATGTTACAGTATAGGAAGGAAAATATAAAAATTTTTATTAAATCAGTAAATTTGGAGTAAGAATATTTAAAATATTATTTGTGCATCACCATCACAGGTATTCCAAATTCATGACTAAAGCTTTTTTAAAATGTAAAGTGAGATAAATTCAGCAGTTTTGGTTTTTTTCCCTTTGCAATCAGGTCTTTCACATTTTCCGGCCCTTCAATGAAAACAAGAACTAAAATAACTTAAAATATTAGTGTGATTCAACTACATCATTAAAAAATGGAAGGCAAACTTTTCAATTTGCATAAATGAATAATATTTATGGAATTCACAGATGAACCTTTAAAATTAGGCATTTGTAAAATCACAGTTCAGGGACTATATACTTTTGAAAGGTAGAATATATATTAGTAAGTAATATGATGGATTATAGCTTTCAGTGTTTGATTTACCTGCCTTGCAGAATCAGAATTTTATGAATGAGAAAACCAAGGCCAAAACAAGGAGGAGTTTGTGTTAGTTATAAGGCTAGTCAATGTGAGAGACTAGAACTTTCTTAGTTGAGATCTAAAGAGCAGCTATTTTATTTTGTTTATTTGAGAGAGAGCGAGAGAGAACAAGAGAGCATGCACAAGTCGGGGGAGGAGCAGAGGGAGAGGGACAAGACTTCCTGCTGAGTGCGGAGCGGGGCTCAATTCCAGGACCCCAAGATCACGACCTGAGACAAAATCAAGAGTAGGACACTTAACTGACTGAGCCACCCCGGCACCCCAAGAGCAGCTATTTTTTTTTAAAAGATTTTAATTATTTATTTGACAGAGAGAGACACAGTGAGAGAGGGAACACAAGCAGGGGGAGTGGGAGAGGGAGAAGCAGGCCTCCCACGGAGCAGGACCCTGGGATCATGACCTAAGCTAAAGGCAGACGCTTAATGACTGAGCCACCCAGGCACCCCAAGAGCACTATTTTATTTTATTTTATTTTTTAATTGGTAAATTTCCCCCCCCCCAGGGGAGGTACAAGTTCTTTTTTAAAAAATTTTTTATTGTTATGTTAATCACCATACATTACATCATTAGTTTTTGATGTAGTGTTCCATGATTCATTGTTTGTGCATAACACCCAGTGCTCCATGCAGAACGTGCCCTCTTTAATACCCATCACCAGGCTAACCCATCCCCCCCTCCCCTCTAGAACCCTCAGTTTGTTTTGCAGAGTCCATCGTCTCTCATGGTTCGTCTCCCACTCCGATTCCCCCCCCTTCATTCTTCCCCTCCTGCTATCTTCTTCTTTTTTTTTCCTTAACATATATTGCATTATTTGTTTCAGAGGTACAGATCTGTGATTCAACAGTCTTGCACAATTCACAACGCTCACCATAGCACATACCCGCCCCAGTGTCTATCACCCAGCCACCCCATCCGTCCCACCCCACGCCCCACTCCAGCAACCCTCAGTTTGTTTCCTGAGATTAAGAATTCCTCCTATCAGTGAGGTCATATGATACATGTCTTTCTCTGATTGACTTATTTTGCTCAGCATAACACCCTCCAGTTCCATCCACGTCGTTGCAAATGGCAAGATCTCTATTTTAAATAATTTCCAGAATCAATACCTTTCTCTGTCCTATTTAAATTTAACTTATTCCATTCAAAACTCTATGCAGTGTTAAAGAAATAAGAAAAGTCCCTGCCCTCCAAAGCCCTACAGTACACATGGGGAAGAGCTCTCTACTTTTTGTGCAAACTATTGTTTTGGGGTTTTTTGTATGCAAATGTTTATGGAAACTTTATTTATAATAAACAAAGAATAGAAGCAACTCAGATGCTCATCAGCTGCTAAATGGGTAACCAATTTGTGGTACATTAATATAATAGAACACAATTTAGCAATAAAAAATAAAGCACCAATACAGGCAAAAAATAGAGGTGAATTTCAAAAGCACTATGCCACTATGTCATTGAAATAAAGATAAAATATATTTATGACTAAACTTACATACTTTATGATTACATTCATATGACATTTTGAAAAGGCAAAAAGTAGATCAGAAACCAGATCACTGATTGCTAGGGACTGGGGGTGAGGGGAGATGATTGACTACAAATAGACACAAAGAAACTTTCTACAATAATAAAAGATGCTTGTCATAAATATATTTTATATTTATTTCCATGACACAAAATGGCAAATAGTAATCAGAGCAATGACTCAGAAATCAGGGCCAGAATGATATTTCCATGGAAAAGGATCATTTAAAAAAAAATCCTAACAGTGGTTACAAGTATATAGATGAAGAAACTGAGACTTAGATGAAATTTT